AAGCTGTTCGACGGCGCATCACAAAGTCTACCCGGATAACCCGAGCTGCCTGTGAGGCGCTAGAAGGTTATGGTCACATGACTTATCCCATCGGGGACCCATTTCTGCTTGGTGAACAGATACAATTTTCAACAAAGTCACTTGCCTAGGGTACGACATGTATCACATGTGCTTCGTTGTGGGGGAGGACTAAAGTCCTAGAGACTCTCAGGAGTTAAGCTGTCTATAAGGGTCACCCATCCAAGGACTCCCCACGTACATCGTTGCTAAACCTCAACTGAGCTGTGACCTGAGCTGTATGCACAGCACCACACAGCACCACATATACAGCAACGTACTGCAGTATAAGTCTGCCGTACATCGCCGACGACGACCTTTTCAGCGGACAACCGTGTTATTTGGGTTTGAAGAGGTCGTCGTCGGCAATGTTCTGCAGACATATACCCCTGGTACGTTCCTGTATATAGAGAAATGTACCCTAAACAAAGTCAAAATACAGAAACGTATCCAGTACCCTAAACGGCGGACGAGTCCATATTCGTCAGAAAGGAACCAACACCATGTGGACTTGTTCCCGTTCGCCTGAGTGCGATTGGTTGCAGAGCATGATGGGGGCGCGGTGGGCGAGATGGCTAAGGCGCCAGGCTAGTGATCCAGCGAGGTTTAGGTGTCGGGATCGAGCCCACTTAAAAGAACCCACGAATTCGTTGGTATATGACCACATGGTGGCCACATGAATACTTGCAAAAACCTAGTTGTGGGTACAGCAACGTGCAGTAAACTTGGACAAAGTACTGTGACTATGTGTCCCAGTCCACCCAGCTGTGAATGGGTACCTCGTTAGGATGAGAAAGCCACAATAACTCAGTGTGTCTAGTGGCTGCAAGTGTTGTATACTCCCCAGGGAGTTGAGAATGATAATACGATGTGCCATTGAGATTGACCTCCAATGATCGAGGGAACAAATACCAGCGCCTTGAGCATGGCAGTTGCCTGGATATGTGCGCTATATAAATATCCTATAATTATATTATAATAATAATAATGATGAATGTGTAAACATTCAGAATCATATGAAATGCAGGAATACTTTACCGGCATATCTTACTTCGTAATTTCATGTGCCAAAAATATTTGGTTTGGTTCACAGTTGCATGGCCGGTGGTTATATAGCCGCAATGTAACGTTGTATCGGTTCTGCTTACGCGGCTATATAACCACTACTATACGTCCCCAATTCGTCAAACACAGTACAGTTATCCCCATTCTAATTCAACTCGTTTTACGCTGTTTTTTCGTGGGGGAAATCCATAATTTAAACCAGGTCAAAGTTCCTCTAGGTCAAAGGTTAATCATATCACTCCTTGAACCACTCTCCTACCCAGAGTTCCATGCGGCAAGCCAGCATAGTACCTCTGCCACAGGCCAGAAAAATGTGACGATTCGTCACATCTTGCACCGTCCATTCAATATAATGTACAGATTACTTTTACTCTTTTATTTTTGACGAGTGTACACATATAACTAAACATCTTTAGTAGAATGGTTTAGTTTCACTGAGAAAATATCCAAAAACATGTAACACTATTTCGATTTGCGTAGCGATCCTTTGTTTATATAGGTTGTACGGCTCCACGTGCTGTCATCGAAGCTGATGGAGAGCAAACGATGCAGCCAGTTTGATATCTAAATATGTACTGTCATAGACCTTACTGTCGCAGTTGTGGAAGAATATATATGTAACAATGTAAAACAATATGAAGAGAGCGCCGAAAAGCTTTCGTGAGTCCAGTCTCTTCTTATTATGAATATGCGCGTTTGTTTACAAACAAGAGAAAAGTCCGGTCGCGTGATATGCAAATTAGCCTGTGGCAGTGATGTTATGTTGGTCATCGCTGTGCCGGAGTGTGTCCTTGAACTTACACCATCGCCAGAAAAAGGAGTTCCCTTTGCAGACTACACACGTTTATTATGTGCACGCTGACTAAATCTAACAATGATGAATAGATCATAGTATTATAGATAAAATGGACGGAATTATGATGAAACCGCCCTCTAGTTACAGAAATGAGCGGCCCGGTGATTCCTCAACTGCGGGCCATTATCAGTTCTGTTGTCAAATGACGTCACAGCAGGTGACGTCACGCTCCATAATGACGTCATAATCTTGTTTCATGATCTAACGGTGTTGGGGCAACAATGATACTGTTTTGTCTTTTTTAAAACAAATTCCAGCCATTTTAGCTGGATAGGGGAGTTAACTGACCAATGGCTTCTGCAAATGATGTCCAATGTCCTTCAAAACAGCGTTACCCCAAAAGTGTAGGGATACATTCAAAGGTTTTCGTTAATCGGTTTTCAAATTGCGACCGTATAATTGCGACGGTCGGAAATTTATAACGTTGACCAATCAGAACTCGTATTACATGATTGCATGACGTCGCGCAGCTATACTCCTGTCATGTGGGGAATCGAACCTGGGTCTTCGGAGTGACGAGCGAACGCTTTAACCACTAAGCTACTCCACCGGCTGGTAGACAACCAGACAATCAAGTGACAAAACAAAATTGTGTTGTTTGTTGCCGCAAATAGTAATAGTAATCGTAATAGCAATAGTAATAGCAATAGCAATAGCAATAGTAATAGTAATAGTAATAGTAATAGTAATAGTAATAGCAATAGTAATAGTAATAGTAATAGTAATAGTAATAGTCCGCTTATATGGCGCTCATATCCAGGGAGAATACAGCCATGCTGCCGGATAGACGCAATGAACTAAACACTCACATTGCCAGAACATCCTCACGGGTACCAATTTTACAGGTGAACTGAGACAATGTGGATCTAAGTATTTTGTCCAAGGATACTTCACAAATGTGCCCACCTCAGGACCCGAACCTTGGTGCCTCCACCGGGGATCGAACCCAAGCCTTCAGCGTGATAGGCAGACGCCTTATCTATTTGCCGGCGGTCTGTATTACTCGAGTCCGGAACAGACAATTCAGTGATCAACAGCATAAACATAGATCTACGCATTTGGGAACCGATGACATGTGTCAACCAAGTCAGCGAGACTGACAACTGGATCCCGTTAGTCGCCTCTAATGACAATCATCTATTGCTGGAGATCAACTCTTACCCGGATCTTTACGGGTGAACGAAGTGATATGACACTACACACAAGTCATCGTATCCTAACTTCGTAGATCGATGCTCTTTCTGTTGATCACCGGATTGTCTTGTCCAAACTCGAATATTTACAGACCGCCGCCACATAGCTGGAATATTGCTGAGTGCGGCGTGAAACAACAAACCAACCAATCATCACTCGCCGAACAGACCGTTAACCAAAACAAGAAAATCAGCTGTACATTGGAAAAGTTGGTTATGAATTATTTTCATTGAATATTTAATATGATTCTCATAAACCCTTCTCTTTCAGTAATATATTATTCACACCCTGCCAATTTGGTAGAGCGCTATCGGCGTGTGAAATCGCCCTGGCCGTATCTCTCGTAGATTACGCTGACAAGGCAAACATGGACATTGACTCATTGATTCTACGCGAGTCTCTTGTACAGGGAATGCTATTTACTTCCATTTGCAAACATGGCGTTAGAAACATGGCTCATAGTTTTTGTAGTTGTTTGCATCGTACGCGGGGACTGTTACATAAGAAATACGCACCTAAAACGCATCAGAAATGGAATGTCAAACGGATCTGTGTCTTCAGCTGCATGTGGTACCGAGCTTGGCTGTTTAACAGAGACTTTGACGAAGGAAGAGGACATACATTTGTCTATGGTCATACAGTGTAACTGCCAAAGCCTTGGCACTGATCTCTACAAGAAGACTCGATGGAAAGTGATACATGAGAAGGAAGGATCTTACTCGCAGGTGAAGAATTCGGGCTAAACATGTTCGAAATAACACATGAATGTTTAGATGAAGATCTAAGTTTCAATAAGTAGGCAAATTATTGTTTTTGGAAACCAAAACTCATTCTTTATAGGTTCTGTTTGTTGTTTAAACCGCGCTCAGCAATATTCAAGCTAGATGCTGGCGGTTTGTAAATATTCCAGCTAGATGCTGGCGGTTTGTAAATATTCCAGTCAATCCAGGGGTTGACGTCATGAGCATCGACAATTGGGAGGTGAGGACATGCATCAGTCGAATCTTTAGTCGCCTGTTAGGGACAAGTAGGAGGTGAAGAAAATGAATTCTAACTCGATTTTTACGGGTCCATTATTGTCAGGGTCCATTATTGTCAGGATGCGAGGACATGCACCAGTCGAATCTTTAGTCGCCTCTTAGGGACAAGTAGGAGGTGAAGAAAATGAATTCTAACTCGATTTTTACGGGTCCATTATTGTCAGGTCAGTCGACGTGTTCAGTTCGAAATAGTTTAAAAGTATGAGGTCAATGTCTATTGAAACTAACCAAGCATGGTCAAGTGTTGGAAATATAAAACATATCTGTACCTAGAACACCTAACGTTGAGGAAGGCATCGTCATCGTGTAGGAAATATAACTTTGGAACGCGGGTAAATGTCTGTTAATGTCGAACCTTTACAAATCGAGTTCAGGAGGCCAGAAGCAAAGAATAACGTTCCCGTCAACCCAGCATAATAGGTGTGGGTGGTTCACAGTAAATAATGGTTGTCTTGTATTGCTGAACCTGTTAGAATTGGCCTTCTGTAACCGATGCTCGTCGTAAAAGACGACTAACTGGATCGGGTGGTCAGACACGTTGACTTGGTTGACACATGTCATCGTATCCCAGTTGGGTAGATATATGCTCATGCTGTTGATCACTGAATTGTCTGGACTCGATTATTTACAGATTATTTCCATATAGCTGGGATATATACGGCGTTTAACGACAAACAAACAAACATTTATTGCTGCCATACATGTTGCTACCGGTCATCAGTCGTAACGCAGGCTACAATTTCAGGTTCCTCAAAACACCTATAGTGGGCGTGATGCAGAAACAGATGTGTTTAGCTACATCAACGGCACCAGAGTAAACACTACAGGGGGAAAGTTGAACAAGGACAGCATGGTTCAGACTGCAAAGCTGCTTTCGGACACTGTGCCTTCAGTCCGCAGGCAATCTACTGTTGGTGATGACATGAGGTCATTCAGAGCGGACACAACTACTGTTGGTAAGACCAATCTGGAATCGTCGTCTCAAAGGTATAGTCCCAAGCAGCATGCAACAGCTGCCGCAAATTCATCTAATTTCACTGTGCCTTCAGTCCGCAGGAAATCTACTTTTGGTGGTGTCATGGCTTTCAGCGGACACAACAACTGTTGGCAAGACGAATCTAGAATCGTCATCTCAAAGGGATATTACGTTCAAGCATGCCACAGCAACTGCTGCCACAAGTTCGTCTGAGGGTAGAATCTTTTCAACTCAAGCGCCCGAGCCACAACCAGGTCACTACCCATAACCCACCCCACCCCCCCCGCATCCCCCACACACACCTCGGAGTCACCAATTAAATCACCATTTAACTCAAATGGAGTTAAATAATTATGAAAATTCGAAATTGTAGAAATGTGTGTTTCAGTAACTATAAACTGTAGTTACAATTAAATATTTATTGAATAGGAGGTAGCCTCGTGGTTGAAATGTTAACTCAAGGTCAGGGTTCGATTCCTTGATAACATACAATTTTCGTTTCTTCTGTTTTGCCGCCCTTGTAATATTGCAGGGTGAAATGTTAAAATTAGTCTAAAACCATACCGATGTACATTAAAATAGCAAAACCATACACAGTTGTCATTACATTTCCTGTTTTAAGAATTGTTATGTATTTATTTTCATAAAAAGAGCAAATACTGGGTCTGATGCCAAAGTACCTATGACCAGAAGCTGTAGTTGTCATATCTTAACTCACGTTAAACGGATCCTTAAGCGGAACTTTAATAACAAACCTATAACGCTATTTCTGCCTTTTTGTAAGTAAAAAATGTCAAAGATTTTCCTCATGGTTATGACTTCCTGACACTACCTACTTCATAACATGACAGGGCGGTGGGGTAGCATGGTGGTTATTGATCAAAGTGTTCTCCTGTTACGTTGACGATTGAGTGAGTGTGGTTTTACGCCGCTGTTAGGAATTGTCCAGCAATACCACGGCAGATGACACCAGAAATGAGCTTCACACATTTCGCCCATGTGGGGAATCGAACCCGGGTGTTCTGGGTGACGAAAAATGCTTTAACCACCTAGCTACCCCATCGCATGGGTTTGATTCTCCACATAAGTACGATGTGTGAAGCTATTTCTTGTATCTTTAAAAGCGGAGTAACACATGCTCACTCACTGTTTTAACGGTAGATTTGATAGTTAGAATTTTGAACCAGAACTTTGCTTCTTTTCATACAGAACTATGAATGCATTAATATTGGAACACAAATTCTTTTCAGAAGTCGCAGATGTCCCTCATGGGAAGGATTTCTTTATCGTCAAAGACCTGGACATGAAGCGAGTGTACATCTACACTCTACCAAACAATACGTACTTTGGCTATCAGGAGCTTCGTGTTGACGGGAACGTTACTGCCATAGAGATCTGCTTCCCTAACCACACACTACAATGGTTTTTATACGATGGGCGGACTTGTTTCACCAACCACTCGGGATGGCAGTGCTCAGACAAAGATAAAGCACTGAGTATGTTGAAATTATTTTTGCAGTACGAACATAAAGTAAGCTTGTGTAGACCCGTGAAGATCCAAGTTAGAACTGATCTTAAGCAACCCATGCTTGTCGTGAGGGGCGACTAACAGGATCGGGTGGTCAGTCTCACTGACTTGGTTGAAACATGTCATCGTATCCCAACTGCGTAGATCAACGCTCATTATGTTGATCACTGGATTGTCTGGTCCAGACTCGATTATTTACAGACCGCCGCTGTATGGATGTATTTAAAGAATGGATCTTTCGTTAAAGTAAATCGTGAGGAAAGTCAAGAATTCTAGAAAAGCAAAGAAGAAAGAATGAAAAGAAGAAGGAATATAGAAATCATTTGATCATTTACACGTGAATTAAGCTAAACGCAAGGGGATGGGGTCATTTTTACCCAATTTTTCTCTCTAATATGTCCTATAAATGGCAGGTGAAGCTAAATTCATCAAGTGTGACGACAACTTCATGCTGCTCATGACTGACACGAAATTGAGAAGAAAGACGGGCTCAAACAAACCAACAACAATGGCAACTGTGCGGCGACCGATTAATATGATGATTTCAACAAAGGAAAAGTAAGTAGAAAGCAGTTTATGCAAGTCCAGTGTTCCACGATATGGCCGAAATATTGCCGATGTGACTCATTCACTCAAACTCGTTAGAGCACCGTATGACAACAGCATGCACAGTATGTTATAATATCAGTTGTTTCGTCATCCGGATGCGTCGTTTAATCCCTGGAATTCTACCAAAATGGTTTGGACTGAAACGGGCAGAGCAGACAATATAAAACAACATAGGTTCCGATCTCTTAATTCAACTGAGAAGACAATATGTGAAATGCTGGATTTCCTCATTGATAAAATTTGAAGGTAAACCATTCATCAATAAGCATCCCCATTGGCAACAGCGGTGCTGCTTCATTGCGGGTCTATTTCTTTAAGCATATGTACCGGTGAAGGTCCGGGTTAGAATATTGATCTTCAGTAACCCATGCTTGTCGTAAGAGGCGACTAACGGGATCGAGTGGTCAGGCTCTCTGACTTGGTTGACACATGTCATCGGTTCCCTATTGCGCAGATCGACGCTCATGCTGTTGATCACTGGATTGTCTGGTCCAGACTCGATTATTTACAGACCGTATAGCTGGAATATTGCTGAGTGCGGCGTAAAATTGAACTCACTCACTCACTCACTCACTTAAAGCATATGATTCCGAATCTCTGCAAAATCGTTTGGTGTTTACATTTCACATTGGGGTACACTCCAGCATGCTCTTTGATCAAGATTTGTCATGTGACGTTTGTCCAGAAGTTGTTTGGTCAGCGTCACATCATTGAAGGTCACATTTGAGGTCACATTGTCAAAAATGATGCCCGACGCAATGTGCTGTTTAACTTGTACCACACGTTGGCGTGTTGGTACTTTCAGGTGAACAACTGACTAGCCTTTGCGTTTGGTGCCACCGGTGGTGCACCGTATCGCGAATACCCGGTATCATCTATTCACGTCATAAACGATTCATAAATATAGCGATTCATAAACACATGCTCCTTATAGCTAATATATCAGAAATTGTACAATCGACATTTAGCAGAGATTTCATATGGATATGGAAGTCACAGTCACACCAAAAGGACTTTCAAAGATTGAACTCCATGCCACTAAACTCTCTGGCACTCACATATGGTAAAGGTTAAATGATGCACAGGGCCCCCCACCCCCCTGAAAACATTCCCTGAGGAGCATTTCCCCAAACCTTTGGACTTCATGGTGTATGTGCACCCTCTTCTCCAAAATCTTGGATCCGCCCCTGATGCATGTTCCTAATACTTTCCTATTTGGATTCATCAGATGTGTCTACTGGACATCAGTGAACGTGGCGTCTCCTCGCAGGCCATTTCTATCGAAGATCACGTATGAGGGCAAGCCTAAGATCCCCAATAAAAGTTATATTTCTGACCTCAAGTACATCAACGCAGAAGGTAAGATCAAATGTTTTGACTCTACCCAGTGTGCGTTTCGGCGTTTACGTTTATACCACAATGAGCTTAGTAGGGCAGCATTTTTATTTTCTGTGTTTTTCATCGCCAGGTCGACCCTTCTAATTTTATTGCCGACGCCCCCAAAAACATTCTTTTCATTCCTTCCAACACCGCCGACTCAAACCTAAAACGTACCGCCTCGTCATATCAAATGTTAATTAATCAATTCCATTAATAATTCCCTACAACAAGTCCAAAGAACGCGAGAAATTGTAATAAGAATTACAATAAATGAGAACCAAGAACATTATTCAGATAATTTTGTCTTTATTAATTATATTTTCTGTTTTCCCTACCGACCGACCCATGTTCAGAATTTGGTGGCTACGCGAAACATATAAAAAAGTAATGCCCTTAGCTGAACCATTCGGTAACGCATAACATCGACTTATTTAAATACTAAATTGAATTGAATTGAACAAATATTACTGACATTGCGCAAAAAACATTTGTGAAATTCTTAAACGATGTAATATTTACATCCATCTTAGAGTTTTGTCAACACCAGGGGGCGCTACATACTAGATGTGAATGACATCCAGCACTGTTACCAATAATCCTGAAAAAGTACTGAATATGACGAGTAGTTATAGATTGAGCAGAATGGACGTTATTAGAGATTTCAGCCAATTTTGCGGCCATCTTGATTTGTCTGCCACCACTGCCGAGTTTGATCCATATTCAGAAATGTTTGGAATTATTCGATGTCCCAAATTTGCACCCAAACCGCCCCACTATATCATGATAATGAAGTCAAATCTTATCAAATAAAGAAGTAAATACTACTTGCTTTACAAAGAACACATTTAATGATTAACATAAAAATCAGCGACATTGATCAAAACATTAATTCAGCACCAGCCCTACCCAGTCGTATATAATCAAATCAGAACTTTGCAAGCGGGTGTGTTTCAATTTGATGGAATCTTTATTTCCAAAAGAATTCTAGTTCTGATTAGCGCCTTGAGCATGCCTGTACCTGTTGCCTGGATATGTTCGCTATATAAATATCCTATAATAATAAATAATAAACGTATCAATTAATCAATCAATTGTAATATATTTATAAAGTTACAAATCACTTTTACAATGGAACTGTGAATGTGAACATGCGTACTAGGGCTGCAACGATTCACCCAGATTCGATTCGATTTTCGATATTAGACCCTCGATTCGATCGATTTTCGATTCGATTCTTCTTACAAGTAAAAACATCAGAGTTCAAGTGAGTCGGCTTTTCAGCGTGAAATCCATCGTCAACTTGGCGATGTCTACCAACAACAATTTTCATTGGATAATTCGCCCGGCGTCAACAAATCACGTTTCGCCTTATTTCAGCGCTCGAAACTGCGCGAGTTGGAGTTAAAATTACTTTCTCGCTGTGTGGAAATAACTTAAAAAGATATTCAAATATCGAATCGAAATAGTGATAATGGTTATCGAAAATCGAAACTAAGGTGTCAGATTCGATTTTCGACGAATAGAACTGAATCGTTGCAGCCCTAAGTGTACAGACCAAAACATTCCTCAACTGTTTAACTTCTTATCCATTTTTATAAAAGCGAAAACAGCAACACGTAAATGTATATGTGAGCACTACTCAGTAGAAAGCTACCTGTATCGGCAGTTGTCGACAAAGGTACTCGAGGCCTAACGGTGATTTCGCGGATATAACAGTTTTCTTGGATGGTGAATTACAGTATGAACTGTCAGTGTAAAGGGAAAGAAATGATGGTATAAATTACACCGAGAAGTCTCATTAAATCACTGGCAACTTTCCAAACATCATCAGAGGGTAGCATCTAGACACAACATGAGGGTAGCCTCATGGTTAAAGCGTTCGCTCGTCACGAGTTCGATTACCAACATGGGTACACTGTGTGAAGACATCATGAGGGTAGCCTCATGGTTAAATGGTTAAAGAGTTCGCTCATGGTCACAGGTTCGATTCCCAACATGGGTACACTGTGTGAAGACATCATGAGGGTAGATTCCCCATAATGGTGTGAGGACAAAGCGTTAAAGCGTTCGCTCGTCACGGGTTCGATTCCCAACATGGGTACACTGTATGAGGACATCATGAGGGTAGCAGCATCCCAACATGGGTACACATGTGCGAAGACATCATGAGGGTAGCCTCATGGTTAAAGCGGCTTCGCGGGTTCGTCACAGTTACACTGTGTGATTTCCAACATGGGTCGTGGCGGGTTTGATTGTGGGTAAGACATCATGAGGGTAGCCTCATGGTTAAAGCGTTTGCTCGTCACGGGTTCGATTCCCAACATGGGTACACTGTATGAAGACACCATGAGGGTAGCCTAACTTAAAGCGTTCGCTCGTGACGGGCTCGGTACCCAACATGAGTACACTGTGAGAAGCCCAATTATGGTGTTCCCTGCCGTGATATTAATGGCATATAGGTTAAAGAGGCGTAAAACCCAACTCACTAACTAACTCTTGACATCATGAACAGCATGAACCATTATATTCTATTTCAAATCAAAATATCCATTTGCTATCATATAAATCAATTAAACGTGCTGTTAAAACGAACTCGCAGGGTCCACTGAGATTGGTTCGTTACAACCGCAGTTCGTTATACGCATTTCCATCAGAATATATGCAAGTAGTCGAAGAAAAAAAATGTTCGTTACATCAACCAGTTCACTACAAGCGTGTTCGTTGTAGACGTAGTACTTTGTTTTCCTACTGATTTGTGTAAAGTAATGATTTTCCATGGTATGTCTAGCAGTTTAACAACACGACTGTTCATTTTAGGTACACTTGCATATTCATGTGCTCCAGCACCAAACTATCGAGCCGTGAAGCCATCGACGCCTTGCCCTTTCAAGTTGAAACAGATCACGGCTTCATGTTCTGATTTTGCCGAGTACAGAGACAGACTGTACATATTGACACTGTCACGGTAAGGCGATTAGTATACAGAGACAGACTGTACATATTGACACTGTCACGGTAAGGCCATTAGTATACAGAGACAGACTGTACTTATTGACACTGTCACGGTAAGGCGATTAGTATACAGAGACAGACTGTACATATGGACATTGTCACGATAAGGCGATTAGTATACAGAGACAGACTGTACATATTGACACTGTCACGATAAGGCCATTAGTATACAGAGACAGACTGTACATGTTGACACTGTCACGGTAAAGCGATTAGTATACAGAGACAGACTGTACATATTGACATTGTTACGATAAGGCGATTAGTATACAGAGACAGACTGTACATATTGACACTGTCACGGTAAGGCCATTAGTATACAGAGACAGACTGTACATATTGACACTGTCACGATAAGGCGATTAGTATACAGAGACAGACTGTACATATTGACACTGTCACGATAAGGCGATTAGTATACAGAGACAGACTGTACATGTTGACACTGTCACGGTAAGGCGATTAGTATTATTGGCTTACTGGTGAAGATCAGGGGTAGAACTGATCTTCAGCAACCCATGCTTGTCGTAAGACGCGACTAACGGGATCGGGTGGTCAGGCTCGAATGATTTGACTTGAAAGATGCATGTCATCGTATCCTAACTGATCAGTGTTCATAATGTTAACCACTCGGTTGTCTGGTCCACACATTTGAGAATTCAAAGACTCCCGTTATACCGCTGGAAATTGGGTATGAATGGCGTTAGCTGGGGACGAGTGAGTGAGTTTTGTTTTACGCTGCACAGCAATATTCCAGGTATGTGGCGGCGGTCTGTAAATAGTCGAGTCTTGATTACACAATCCACTGATCAACAGCATGAGCATCGATCTACGCAATTGGGATACGGTGACATGTGTCAACCAAGTCAGCGAGCCTGAACACCCGATCCCGTTAATCGCCTCTTAATACAAGCATTGGTTACTGAAGATCAATTCTAACCCGGATCTTCACGGGTCAGCTGGGGACGAAGATGGATGATTTGAACCACTTTGAGGTAATGTTCTTGCAGTTAAATGTTGAATATAAAGTTAACAGTATTTTTCAGTATTATCCAAGAATAGGTAAACCGGTGCTCTTAAATTAAGGTTAAATTAAGGTTTTTGCACGTCACCTGCCATTAGTATGGTGTCCAACTTAGCTATTATGCCAAGGTCTCAGTTGTTAACCTTGAATCTCATAGGTGAGTGAGTGTGTTAGTTTTAACACTGATATTCTAGTCTTTACTGTCTTTTGTCGACAGGTTTTTTATAATTTAATTGTGTTTATCGTGTATTCATAACTTGTGTTAGTCACGATATGGTTGAAATATTGCCGATATGACTGTAAATCTTAACTCACTCACTCCATTGCATCACTGGACCACATCCGTGGTGTAGTGGTTAGAGCGTTCGCCCGGAGAGCGCAAGGTCGCGGGTTCGATCCCCGGCAGCGTCATACCAAAATTCTTTAAAATATGGTACTTATTGGTCCCTGCCTGGCGCTCGGCATTAATGGGCAGAACAAGGACTGGTCGGCTCGGAGTCAGTATAATGTGTCTGATTGGGGTATTCATGCTTAACTGCGGCCGGGGATCGAACCCGTGACCTTCTGCTCTCCGGGCTGACGCTCTAATCACTACACCACGGATGCGGTCTCATTGGTGTTAACCTTGGACCTCGGAACACATGGGTAAGTGATTGTGTCAGTTATAACACCTCTTCTAACGATATTTCCATTACATCGCGACATTGCCCACCTATGGTGGTATTCAGGGCGACTTTATAGTTGTGGCTGGAAGACTTATATTTCTGTTGTAGTGGAATATATATAATGACCCCTAAACACTTCACAAGACAAGAACTGCCATATAAACACAGAATTACACGTGGCGAGATACAAGTAAGTTGAAACAATGAAGAACAATCAACAACTACAGCCATGAAAAGCATTGTCTTCTATCTTAATGTTTTTAGCAACTCTCTCTCTCTCTCTCTCTCTCTCTCTCTCTCTCTCTCTCTCTCTCTCTCTCTCTCTCTCTCTCTCTCATCCAATGCAACCCGTTTTACAGCCATGAAAAGCATTGTCTTCTATCTTAATGTTTCTCTCATCCAATGCAACCCGTTTTCATGAAAAGACCATTGTTCTATCTTATGTTTTTAGGTCTTGTCTCTCATCCCGTTTTGCCATGATAAAGCTGTAATATAAGCGAGTGAGCATACCTGAAAGTTATTGGCAGTGTCATCTACACTACTAATGTCTTCAACATGATTCATGTTTAGTAATAAAACCCATTTACTTAACCGCGGGGTCAGGGTTAGAATTGATCTTCAGTAACCCATGCTTGTGGTAAGAGACGACTTACGGGATTGGGTGGTCAGACTCGCTGACTTGGTTGACACATGTCATCGTATTCAAATTACGTACATCGATGCTCATGATGTTTATCACTGGATTGTCAGTGATCGATTATTTACAGACCGCCACCATATAGCTGGAATATTGCTGCGTCCGTCAAAGAACCAATGAACTAAGTCTAACATGTTCCTATATATTTACCGAATAGTATCTCTGCTGTCGTATTTTGTAGGTTGTAGCTGCTAACATGTTCCTATATATTTACCGAATAGTATCTCTGCTGTCGTATTTTGTAGGTTGTAGCTGCTAACATGTTCCTATATATTTACCGAATAGTATCTCTGCTGTCGTATTTTGTAGGTTGTAGCTGCTAACATGTTCCTATATATTTACCGAATAGTATCTCTGCTGTCGTATTTTGTAGGTTGTAGCTGCTAACATGTTCCTATATATTTACCGAATAGCATCTCTGCTGTCGTATTTTGTAGGTTGTAGCTGCTAACATGTTCCTATATATTTACCGAATAGTATCTCTGCTGTCGTATTTTGTAGGTTGTAGCTGCTAACATGTTCCTATATATTTACCGAATAGTATCTCTGCTGTCGTATTTTGTAGGTTGTAGCTGCTAACATGTTCCTATATATTTACCGAATAGTATCTCTGCTGTCGTATTTTGTAGGTTGTAGCTGCTAACATGTTCCTATATATTTACCGAATAGTATCTAACTGCTGTCGTATTTTGTAGGTTGTAGCTGCTAACATGTTCCTATATATTTACCGAATAGTATCTCCTGCTGTCGTATTTTGTAGGTTGTAGCTGCTAACATGTTCCTATATATTTACCGAATAGTATCTTGCTGTCGTATTTTGTAGGTTGTAGCTGCTAACATGTTCCTATATATTTACCGAATAGTATCTCTGCTGTCGTATTTTGTAGGTTGTAGCTGCTAACATGTTCCTATATATTTACCGAATAGTATCTCCTGCTATCGTATTTTGTAGGTTGTCTAACATGTTCCTATATATATTTCGTAGTTGTAGCCTTGTACCGAATAGTATTTTGTAGGTTGTAGCTGCTAACATGTTCCTATATATTTACCGAATAGTATCTCTGCTGTCGTATTTTGTAGGTTGTAGCTGCTAACATGTTCCTATATATTTACCGAATAGTATCTCTGCTGTCGTATTTTGTAGGTTGTAGCTGCTAACATGTTCCTATATATTTACCGAATAGTATCTCTGCTGTCGTATTTTGTAGGTTGTAGCTGCTAACATGTTCCTATATATTTACCGAATAGTATCTCTGCTGTCGTATTTTGTAGGTTGTAGCTGCTAACATGTTCCTATATATTTACCGAATAGTATCTCTGCTGTCGTATTTTGTAGGTTGTAGCTGCTAACATGTTCCTATATATTTACCGAATAGTATCTCTGCTGTCGTATTTTGTAGGTTGTAGCTGCTAACATGTTCCTATATATTTACCGAATAGTATCTCTGCTGTCGTATTTTGTAGGTTGTAGCTGCTAACATGTTCCTATATATTTACCGAATAGTATCTCTGCTGTCGTATTTTGTAGGTTGTAGCTGCTAACATGTTCCTATATATTTACCGAATAGTATCTCTGCTGTCGTATTTTGTAGGTTGTAGCTGCTAACATGTTCCTATATATTTACCGAATAGTATCTCTGCTGTCGTATTTTGTAGGTTGTAGCTGCTAACATGTTCCTATATATTTACCGAATAGTATCTCTGCTGTCGTATTTTGTAGGTTGTAGCTGCTAACATGTTCCTATATATTTACCGAATAGTATCTCTGCTGTCGTATTTTGTAGGTTGTAGCTGCTAACATGTTCCTATATATTTACCGAATAGTATCTCTGCTGTCGTATTTTGTAGGTTGTAGCTGCTAACATGTTCCTATATATTTACCGAATAGTATCTCTGCTGTCGTATTTTGTAGGTTGTAGCTGCTAACATGTTCCTATATATTTACCGAATAGTATCTCTGCTGTCGTATTTTTGTAGGTTGTAGCTGCTAACATGTTCCTATATATTTACCGAATAGTATCTCTGCTGTCGTATTTTGTAGGTTGTAGCTGCTAACATGTTCCTATATATTTACCGAATAGTATCTCTGCTGTCGTATTTTGTAGGTTGTAGCTGCTAACATGTTCCTATATATTTACCGAATAGTATCTCTGCTGTCGTATTTTGTAGGTTGTAGCTGCTAACATGTTCCTATATATTTACCGAATAGTATCTCTGCTGTCGTATTTTGTAGGTTGTAGCTGCTAACATGTTCCTATATATTTACCGAATAGTATCTCTGCTGTCGTATTTTGTAGGTTGTAGCTGCTAACATGTTCCTATATATTTACCGAATAGTATCTCTGCTGTCGTATTTTGTAGGTTGTAGCTGCTAACATGTTCCTATATATTTACCGAATAGTATCTCTGCTGTCGTATTTTGTAGGTTGTAGCTGCTAACATGTTCCTATATATTTACCGAATAGTATCTCTGCTGTCGTATTTTGTAGGTTGTAGCTGCTAACATGTTCCCCTATATATTTACCGAATAGTATCTCTGCTGTCGTATTTTGTAGGTTGTAGCTGCTAACATGTTCCTATATATTTACCGAATAGTATCTCTGCTGTCGTATTTTGTAGGTTGTAGCTGCTAACATGTTCCTATATATTTACCGAATAGTATCTCTGCTGTCGTATTTTGTAGGTTGTAGCTGCTAACATGTTCCTATATATTTACCGAATAGTATCTCTGCTGTCGTATTTTGTAGGTTGTAGCTGCTAACATGTTCCTATATATTTACCGAATAGTATCTCTGCTGTCGTATTTTGTAGGTTGTAGCTGCTAACATGTTCCTATATATTTACCGAATAGTATCTCTGCTGTCGTATTTTGTAGGTTGTAGCTGCTAACATGTTCCTATATATTTACCGAATAGTATCTCTGCTGTCGTATTTTGTAGGTTGTAGCTGCTAACATGTTCCTATATATTTACCGAATAGTATCTCTGCTGTCGTATTTTGTAGGTTGTAGCTGCTAACATGTTCCTATATATTTACCGAATAGTATCTCTGCTGTCGTATTTTGTAGGTTGTAGCTGCTAACATGTTCCTATATATTTACCGAATAGTATCTCTGCTGTCGTATTTTGTAGGTTGTAGCATGCTAACATGTTCCTATATATTTACCGAATAGTATCTCTGCTGTCGTATTTTGTAGGTTGTAGCTGCTAACATGTTCCTATATATTTACCGAATAGTATCTCTGCTGTCGTATTTTGTAGGTTGTAGCTGCTAACATGTTCCTATATATTTACCGAATAGTATCTCTGCTGTCGTATTTTGTAGGTTGTAGCTGCTAACATGTTCCTATATATTTACCGAATAGTATCTCTGCTGTCGTATTTTGTAGGTTGTAGCTGCTAACATGTTCCTATATATTTACCGAATAGTATCTCTGCTGTCGTATTTTGTAGGTTGTAGCTGCTAACATGTTCCTATATATTTACCGAATAGTATCTCTGCTGTCGTATTTTGTAGGTTGTAGCTGCTAACATGTTCCTATATATTTACCGAATAGTATCTCTGCTGTCGTATTTTGTAGGTTGTAGCTGCTAACATGTTCCTATATATTTACCGAATAGTATCTCTGCTGTCGTATTTTGTAGGTTGTAGCTGCTAACATGTTCCTATATATTTACCGAATAGTATCTCTGCTGTCGTATTTTGTAGGTTGTAGCTGCTAACATGTTCCTATATATTTACCGAATAGTATCTCTGCTGTCGTATTTTGTAGGTTGTAGCTGCTAACATGTTCCTATATATTTACCGAATAGTATCTCTGCTGTCGTATTTTGTAGGTTGTAGCTGCTAACATGTTCCTATATATTTACCGAATAGTATCTCTGCTGTCGTATTTTGTAGGTTGTAGCTGCTAACATGTTCCTATATATTTACCGAATAGTATCTCTGCTGTCGTATTTTGTAGGTTGTAGCTGCTAACATGTTCCTATATATTTACCGAATAGTATCTCTGCTGTCGAATATTTTGTAGGTTGTAGTTGTGCTAACATGTTCCTATATATTTACCGAATAGTATCTCTGCTGTCGTATTTTGTAGGTTGTAGCTGCTAACATGTTCCTATATATTTACCGAATAGTATCTCTGCTGTCGTATTTTGTAGGTTGTAGCTGCTAACATGTTCCTATATATTTACCGAATAGTATCTCTGCTGTCGTATTTTGTAGGTTGTAGCTGCTAACATGTTCCTATATATTTACCGAATAGTATCTCTGCTGTCGTATTTTGTAGGTTGTAGCTGCTAACATGTTCCTATATATTTACCGAATAGTATCTCTGCTGTCGTATTTTGTAGGTTGTAGCTGCTAACATGTTCCTATATATTTACCGAATAGTATCTCTGCTGTCGTATTTTGTAGGTTGTAGCTGCTAACATGTTCCTATATATTTACCGAATAGTATCTCTGCTGTCGTATTTTGTAGGTTGTAGCTGCTAACATGTTCCTATATATTTACCGAATAGTATCTCTGCTGTCGTATTTTGTAGGTTGTAGCTGCTAACATGTTCCTATATATTTACCGAATAGTATCTCTGCTGTCGTATTTTGTAGGTTGTAGCTGCTAACATGTTCCTATATATTTACCGAATAGTATCTCTGCTGTCGTATTTTGTAGGTTGTAGCTGCTAACATGTTCCTATATATTTACCGAATAGTATCTCTGCTGTCGTATTTTGTAGGTTGTAGCTGCTAACATGTTCCTATATATTTACCGAATAGTATCTCTGCTGTCGTATTTTGTAGGTTGTAGCTGCTAACATGTTCCTATATATTTACCGAATAGTATCTCTGCTGTCGTATTTTGTAGGTTGTAGCTGCTAACATGTTCCTATATATTTACCGAATAGTATCTCTGCTGTCGTATTTTGTAGGTTGTAGCTGCTAACATGTTCATATATATTTACCTAATAGTATCTCTGCTGTCGTATTTGGTAGGTTGTAGCTGCTAAGGATATACGGAATACTCCACAAAAACAACGCAGCTCTAAAAAAGGTGAGTTAAACATCATTTTCTAATATGCTTACCTGATAGCAGTGACATGTAGGCTGTAATTCTTGTTTTTTAGGCAAGATCTCTATATTTGGTGCCAGGATTGTGTATTGATCGAGATTTTATGAAAATAACTGTAGTGTTTATTTTTGGTCGATTCAGATCTACAAGAAAAGCATTGGTGCTTTGATTATTCTGGACTTGAAGTTTGATTATTCTTCACATCATTTCTCAACTGGTTTACACAATTCCTTGATTCCATTATTAACCATTATCGGCTGTTGTGAATGTATTAATTGGAGACTACAGAACAAGCAAACAGAAACAAATGCAATTGTGTGCTATAGATCCGACAGTTCGAAACGTCTGTGATTGGCTCCCAAATTTGTTTTTGGCATTCCAGAAAGGTTCATAATGTACATATACAGTGTGTTCTCGTAGATAAAGGCATCTAAAGTGACATAACAATTAGCATGCAAGATCGAAAACGTAACATAGCAGTGGTTTTGTAAGACGAACCAGCTTAAGTTCTTTTCAAGTTCACACAGCCGCAAGGATTGTAATAAAGAACTACCTTTTCCAATATACGAGTTGGAACTGTTATTCCGTGTATGTTAGTGCTAACCTTAACATTTCAGGAAAGGAGAAAACTGTTGCTAAAAAGGGTCCTTCCTTGTTGGTCATGGCAGCTGAAAACAAAGCTGTTTACGAGTTCCAGCTGCCAAAACAAAGCAGCGCCATCCAGATCAGTTTTCCGAAGAAGAACAAACTTGTTGCTGTCGAATTTTGCCCATTTCATAATACGCTGAAATGGGTCGGCAAAAAAAGTGTGTTTTCATCATATCTGGCGGTTAAGGCTCCGAAAAGGTTAAGGGAGGTGTCCTGGCGACGAGGTATATATTTTAAGCAGTTGTTCTGTAGGATGTCGTTTTAGATGCTTGAATTAGTCGTCACAGCTTACCAATTCCACAGACACACGTTTGTGGCATTATCGGAATCGTGGTATGGAGATTCTTTTCATAACGTAAATTTATTTCTTTTATTTCTTTTTTTATTTATTTTAATGGCGCCAATATCCAGCTCAGCTGCTCAAAGGCGCTTTGATTTTCCCCAGAGCATTGGATGTCAAACTCACATCGTATTATCCATCTCAACTCCCTGGGGATCATACATCTCTTGCAGACATTAGGCGAACCGAGTTTATGTGGCTTTTCCATAAATTTTTTTGTAACACCTATTTGACAACAGTGAGCACGCACCCCAACCCACCAATATATATGTGGAAGCCATGTTATTTCTTAATGACCTCTCGAATGTCGCAAATGCATACGTCTGTATCAGTTGCACGTTTTAGCACGTTAGGGCCGTGAAGATCTCGGTTACAATTGACCTTCAGCAACCCATGCTTATCATAAGAGGCGACTAAAGGGATCGGGTGGTCAGGTTCGCTGACTTGGTTCACACATGTCATTGTATCCCAATTGCGTAGTTAGATGCTCATGCTGTTGATCAGTGGATTGTCTGATCCATGCCCGATTATTTACAGACCGCCACTATATCGCTGTGTTAAACAAGAAACAAGGAAACAAACGTTAACCTGTTTCAACGAATGTAAAACTGTAAAATGTTAAACAGTTCCAGAATTAAACAATTGGCATACTGTTCATTGTAATTATCGTATGATTCAAGTTCTATTCTTGGTGCCGCTGTCCACCCTACTAGCATCTGCTGACTTGGTTCCTGCCGACTTGGTTACGCCTCTTTTAGCAATATTCCAGCAATATCACGGCGTACACACATTGTACTGATGTGGGGAATCGAACCTGGGTCTTCAGCGTGACGAGCGGACGCTTTAACCATTAGGCTACCCCACCGCCAACGGCGTTAAGGAACAACCAAACAAACACTCAAGAACCGAAGTGTGACAAGTTTTTTTTAATTGATTTATTTTTAAAATTTTTAAATGTGACATTTTAATTCCCCCAATTGTCAATGTGACCAAATTCTTGCGTTTCGTTTAAGGCAAGCTCGTCACTGTAAAGTATGACAAGAAAGCAAAGCTGATTTTCTACGTGACAACAAATGGCATAAACAGGATGAAATGGAAGAGTTCTGAGAAACCTCGGATCATTGCGAACAGAATCAAGCCAATGCATGTGGAACTTGACGAAGATAAAAGGTACGTTTTATAACCAATCTGATTTTGATCCATAACCTGGTCTGCTGTCCATCAAAGGATTTAACCATAAAGTGAGTGAGTTTATGGCACTTTTAGCAATGTTCCAGCAATATCACGACGGGGACACCACAAAATGGGCTTTATACATTATACCCATGTGGGAATCGAACCCGGGTTTTCGCGAACGCTATGGCCACTATATAGCTAGCACCGAACGCTTTAGCCTACTAGGCTACCCCACCGCCCCAGTCATCGAAAGATGTCAAATATATATATATTATCCCAAAAAAGAAACGCATAGGCATTTTGTATTTTAAAGTCCATTAATTACCTATTGAGTTCAAACAATCGTCAAAATATGTAACAAAAGTGTTCAGAACATGATTTTACACAATTTTACAAGTGAAACATCGACATGACCTGAAAATGTTGATATCTTACAAGGATTAAAAAGGAACCGCCACAACGCAACAGAAGTCACCTTCCAGTTGAAATTGTGCAGCAAAGAGCATGCACTGTCTGGCTATAAATATCCAGATTACTTTCGGAAATCGTCATTCGTTTTGAAGGGGTTTCAAGGTCAAATCACTACGCCATGTCTTGACGCTGCGACACGGAACATCGCCATTGAAAGAATCTTCTGTTGCCAGGCGTCTGAATGTTAGTCTGAGCACGATATCACGGCTTGCAGCTCGTTACAACCAAACAGGTTTAACAAATGACCGTCCCCGTACAAGCAGACCTCGAGTCACCACTTCAGCCCAAGATCGGTACTTCTGGTTACTACATTTGCGTGATCGTCCTGCCTGCTGTGAGAGCACAGCAGCCAGGGTGCCTGGACTTCGGAGGATATCCGGTCAAACTGTACGGAACAGGTTAAGAGTGATTGGACTGAGAGCCAGGAGACCCGACGTCAGGACCGTCGCCATCGCGCTCAACGTCTCCGTCAACTAAAATTATCCACTTGGTTGTATAGACATTTCCTTTTTCTAAACTGATGTAAAAATTCATGTACTAAACTCAGTGATTGAAATAATTTTTCAACTCAACCTGACAGCCGGGCTGGTGGCCCATAAATGTTGCCTGCCCAACTTGAAAGTTGCCTGCCCACTTTTTTAATTTACATTTTTGCAATAACTGACAAAAACAAACACATATCATTCATAAATCAAATTTGTATTGATTAGGCAACATATTATGAGTGAGTGAGTTCATTTTTATTCCACACTCAGCAATATTCCAACTATATGGAGGCGGTCTGTAAATAATCGAGCCTGGAAAGCAACTTATTATGAACAATAACTTAATGAACCATTAAATATTTACAACCTGTGCACTGTGTGCTTATACAACTTTGAGCTAGATATCAATGTCACAGTCAGAGTAGTCACTCGAGACAACAGATTCTTCAGAATCATAACAACTATCATCAGAACTGTCAGAGTCCTCTACTGTTGCCTTGAGAGCTGGATCTTGCAGTTCTGTTTCATTCTCAACATAAACAGTATCATTGTCATCTTTAGCTGTGAGAGTGGTGAGTTTTCTTTCTAGGTGTCGTGTTCTGCGAGGTTTTACTCGCAACCAATGATGGATGGCCTGAGTTGCATCGTAATCTTCCACCTCTTCAGAATTTAGTTGGACTGTCAAGAGATTTGACACTGTGGAGCTGCTCAGTTTGTTTCTGATTTCCGTTTTGATAATTTTTAGCTGAGAAAATCCACGTTCACATTCTGCTGTGGAGCCAGGTAAAGTCAACAGAAGGTCAATCATGTGCAGACAATTCTTGTGTGTCTCTCCATAGGTTTCCCACACAACATTCCAGGACAGTTCTGAAGGCTTGTGACTGAAAATAACGATATCACATTTTATAACTGAATGAAGGTTATCATTTTACTTTAGGCAGACTATATTCAAAACCTTACTAACATAAACATTTCTTCTTTACTTTCTTTAGTAATTCAACATAGCTGATGTTTATTTCCCATGTTAGTTACAAGCATCCATACTTGACAGTTCCCTTTTGAACATACCTAAACTGTAGATATGAAATGCAATGTACATCACCAAGTGTATATAAGCCTTTGCATTCATAGAGTGAGTGATAACCCTGAATGATACTTTCCACAGCATGCATCTTGTATTTGTCTATAGAGACTATAAAACACAAGTGCACTGTAATTGCTGATGTCTATACAATAAGAAGAAGATAAATCATGGCCTGCAATTGTTTTTCTTTACCTATTGTAGATCTTAGTTTTTAGACTCATCCACTCCTGGTCAATCAGATCAAGCTCAATGTCAGTACGGTCGGTGAGGAACTCTCTGTAGTGGTCTGTGATGGCTGTAAGTTTGTCTGCTCCAAACTCTTTGAAAAAAAGATCACATTTGCAAAAAATAAATGCCATATGGAGCATTTGTTGTTTCATGATTGCAACTGACATGTTTCATGAATTGTATTATGAAATCATCATCTGTTAACATATTAATGACGTAAAAAATGCCTCACATACTAGAATGCCTCTCAAAAGTTCATCCATGACATAAATACTCAATAAATTAGGAGTTTTTGCATAATATACAACACACCTGAATCAAATGTATCTGGCCATGACTTCAAATCTGCAAGGGAGGATGCAGAAAGTAGAGAATCAGTTATGTCGGAGAAACGACTTGACATGGATATGATGACTTCATTGAGCACCTTTTTCAGAGTGGACGATGAAACAGCCTCCAGACAGTGACTGGCCATGGAAAGTGTTCTTATTCTCTACTGCACGTAGATGAAATCCAGGTCTAAAATTAAACACAGTGCAAACTGTTAATAATGTAATATGCAAAATCAAAACATAGATGAATTTGCAATATTAAAAATAAAACAAAACTTTCTCAACAAAATGACTTACTTTTCTTTCATCTGTTCCAGAGTAGCAATAGTAGCCTTTAACTGTTCGTGGCACTCATGGATGGTCACATCCTTTCGTTGTAGTTCTGCTGATAGTTTGCTCAATGTGTTCAGGACGTCATGAAGAAATGAGCATACACTATAAGTGATCTCTGTGTTAGGAGCTTGAAGAGGACTTTGCTTTGATCTGAGCAGAACTGTCTGCACACCACTGCCAGGCCCTGCTGTCTGTAACAAGATTAACATGAACACTGAAATTAGTAACATTGGAACTTGATAATTTATAGCAGTAACTCAATATTGTGCAAGATGGTTTTAAACAGGTGAGCTGCTTGTTTAGTTTTGAATTTTAGTTTTTTTCGTTTAGTCAGTGCCGAACCGGCAAAGAAAAGTTTGATATTTTATTAATATCTTTAAAAGATGCCAGAGAAGTTTGATGTTTCACAAATATCATTACTTATGTTACAGAAATATTACCTGGCCAGTATGGTGAACAAAAGCTTTATAGCCTTTCCACAACTGCTGCAGAGCTGTGACAGTATGCCCAACCCATCTGGTGCCCCCAATCCTCGTAGGCATCACTGGTGCAACACCAAGTGATTCAAAAGATCCCTTTAGCATTGATCTGAATCAAAATTTTTATCATTAATAAAACACATAATAAGTTTGACAAATTCAAACAACAGTAAGCTCAACATCTAATTCTTTTATAACTGTCAAACACTGACTGTCACTGACAAGCAGAAAATTTAGAAAGAACATTGCCAAACTTATGCTCAAAGAAGCCATTATAATCTGATTGTATGATATTTTTAAACAGTACTAAATTGATTGAACTCAATACTGAAGCAAAACTAAAAATAAACAAACCTTCAACCTTGAACTTGCAAGTAGCGCTAATGAAATTATGAAGTTTCATGGCTGTACAATTTACTGAAATTAAACAAAATAAAATTAGGTGTACAAATTATAAATTACAAAAACAATTATAAAAAGCAAAAAGACAATAAAATTATGTACTTCATGAAACAGAGAGTTTACAAAACTAAAAAATTACATAGTCAAATTAAAAATTTATGAATAAAATAAGGGTAAATTAAACTAACAATGAATGTGAAGAACTGAAGCCTTAATTCTTAACTGTCATTACAGTTTTAAAAATGTGTATGCTAACTGCCAAGTCCTTCCAGATTTTAATACCTTTCAGTTTGTTGGGTAAAATTAAACACCATGTTTTTAGTTATTTACAAGAGCAATTGAAACATTTAATTATAATAATCATTTTCACAAATTTGAATTAGCTTAAGCGGTATCTTATCTTTTAATAACAAAAAGAAAGGATTGACATTAAAAAGTTAACTTACCTTTGGAGATAACCTTTGTAGAAAGAGTGAGAAGATGAAGCATTTTCATAACGTCTGCATACTGTTTTGATGTTTTGAAAGCTGCCTTGAAGCACAATTCCAATCTGTGGGCCATGCAGTGAATCATGACAATGGCAGAAGAAATGTTTTTTTCTGAAGATGGACGATGACACCATTCTTTTTCCCAGTGTTAACAGATGCACCATCACAACCAAAAGGCAATCAGCCTATTCTTGACTGGAATATCTGTGAAAGTGTTCATTGCTTTGAGCAATGCTTGATAAATGCCAGAAGAATCTGCTCTTTTGACATGGATTAACTTGACGAAAAATACAAAGATTTTTTTCCTCTGATAGCACATCTGAGGTAGACAATTTCATTTTCTTGTGTGCTAACATCTGTGGAGCCGTCACTCAATATTGAAAAAGAAATTGGCATCTTTAATCTGTTGTTCAATTTTTCAAATTCTCAGTTTCTGCAATAGCTTGTGTAAACGAAGCAGCAGATTTATCTGATGCATATGCTTTACCAGTTCAATTCCTTTTCTGGCATCAAGTTTTCGTTGCCAAACGTAATCCATAAATGGTCTTGAATTTTTAGCTAGGGCATGACAGTTGCTAAACAGTGTATTCAGGGTTTTGAAAGCTTTTTGCATTCAGTTTTTCCATCGATTGCTCCGCTGGAGATTCCCGAAAGGTCTCATTTCCTTCGCTTTGTGAAATTCCACGGCCCTAGTATGACCAAATGACAGATGATAGGTTTTAAAGCATCGTGTTTCAAATTGAGACAACCAAGCACAAAAGGTCCACGTTTATATCTATCATAAGAGGAAGGAATCCTTGTTTTGCGACAGCGGGCCGTAACACGATCTGCATACTTTACAAAACAGAGATTGTTGGTCGGTTATCAACCAGGGAAATTCACGCTCCACTTACTCTGGTATTTACGTGTTCGTTGGGTTGTTTCTTACTCCTTACTCTTTTCTTTCTTCTCAATATCCTTTTCTTCTTGTGTTTTGGTATGAAAAATCTTTACAATTAGTCAAAACTGTGAATATATTTTTGACTGCGACATCGTGGTCTCCCTCACGCCGCCATTTTGTAACCAATACAAACGAGTAAGTAACGCTCTCTCTTTGATTGGTTCTTTTTTTAACCAATATTGCCTACTGATATCCAATCATAGCGTAGCTTACTAAACCAGCCAGTTTTAGTGTCCTATTACTATCTTCACAGTTCACTGGCAGAAGAGTTGTCCATGTATACTCGTGGCTTCCATTCATCTTTCTTAAATCTAAATATGACATGACAGTTAAAATGGAATGATCGTCCTGAGTGCGAACTGAAAAATGTCAACCATAAAAAATTCCAGCCAGACCATCGGGCTGGTGGAGAGAATTTCCAGGCAGCCCGACTCAACGTTTACCGGCCACGGGCAGTCGGGCAGGCCGTTATTTCGATCACTGACTAAACTCCATTTGTGGACGAGTTGTACATGTTTGTAAATACAACATTTGCGCAACAGATTTCTGGGTTATGCGTTTCTTTTTTGGAATAGTATACTTGGTCGTTTGTCAACTAATTGCCGATACTACCCCACACAGCTAAGTTAACCTGGTAGGTTTCGTGCCGTATGATTCTCTGGGGGCGGTGGGGTAGCCTAGTGGTTAAAGCGATCGCTTGTCACGCCGAAGACTGACTGAATGACTGAGTTTGTTTTTTTACGCCGCTTTTTAGCAATATTCTAGCAACATCACGGCGGGGACGCAGAAATGGGCTTCGCACATTGTACCCATGTGTGGGGATTCGAACCCGGGTCTTCGGCGTGACGAGGCAAAGCTTTAACCATAGGCTACTCCCACCGCCCCGTCACGCCGAAGACCCGGGTTCCATTCCCAAAATGGGTACAAGGTGTGAAGTCCATAATGTACATCTATTAGATGAATGCCCATTTAAATTACATCTAGCTGGATGAACGCCCTGGCAAATATACGACTGTTAGATGAACTACCTGATAAATGTACATCTATTAGATGATGATAAATGCCCATTTAAATGTACATCTAGTGGATGAACGCCCTGGCAAATATACGACTGTTAGATGAACTACACTGATAAATATACATCTATCAGATGAATGCCCATTTAAATGTACATCTAGTGGATGAACGCCCTGGCAAATATACGACTGTTAGATGAACTACCTGATAAATGTACATCTATTAGATGAATGCCCATTTAAATGTACATCTAGTGGATGAACGCCCTGGCAAATATACGACTGTTAGATGAACTACCTGATGATAAATGTACATCTATTAGATGAATGCCCATTTAAACATCTATTAGATGAATGCCCTAAAGTTGGATGAACGCCCTGGCAAATATACGACTGTTAGATGAACTACCTGATAAATATACATCTATTAGATGAATGCCCATTTAAATGTACATCTAGTGGATGAACGCCCTGGCAAATATACGACTGTTAGATGAACTACCTGATAAATATACATCTATTAGATGAATGCCCATTTAAATGTACATCTAGTGGATGAACGCCCTGGCAAATATACGACTGTTAGATGAACTACCTGATAAATATACATCTATTAGATGAATGCCCATTTAAATGTACATCTAGTGGATGAACGCCCTGGCAAATATACGACTGTTAGATGAACTACCTGATAAATATACATCTATTAGATGAATGCCCATTTAAATGTACATCTAGTGGATGAACGCCCTGGCAAATATACGACTGTTAGATGAACTACCTGATAAATATACATCTATTAGATGAATGCCCATTTAAATGTACATCTAGTGGATGAACGCCCTGGCAAATATACGACTGTTAGATGAACTACCTGATAAATGTACATCTATTAGATGAATGCCCATTTAAATGTACATCTAGTGGATGAACGCCCTGGCAAATATACGACTGTTAGATGAACTACCTGATAAATATACATCTATCAGATGAATGCCCATTTAAATGTACATCTAGTGGATGAACGCCCTGGCAAATATACGACTGTTAGATGAACTACCTGATAAATGTACATCTATTAGATGAATGCCCATTTAAATGTACATCTAGTGGATGAACGCCCTGGCAAAATATACGACTGTTAGATGAACTACCTGATAAATGTACATCTATTAGATGAATGCCCATTTAAATGTACATCTAGTGGATGAACGCCCTGGCAAATATACGACTGTTAGATGAACTACCTGATAAATATACATCTATCAGATGAATGCCCATTTAAATGTACATCTAGTGGATGAACGCCCTGGCAAATATACGACTGTTAGATGAACTACCTGATAAATATACATCTATTAGATGAATGCCCATTTAAATGTACATCTAGTGGATGAACGCCCTGGCAAATATACGACTGTTAGATGAACTACCTGATAAATGTACATCTATTAGATGAATGCCCATTTAAATGTACATCTAGTGGATGAACGCCCTGGCAAATATACGACTGTTAGATGAACTACCTGATAAATATACATCTATTAGATGAATGCCCATTTAAATGTACATCTAGTGGATGAACGCCCTGGCAAATAACGGAAATATACGAACTGTTAAATGAACTACCTGATAAATGTACATCTATTAGATGAATGCCCATTTAAATGTACATCTAGTGGATGAACGCCCTGGCAAATATACGACTGTTAGATGAACTACCTGATAAATGTACATCTATTAGATGAATGCCCATTTAAATGTACAGCTAGTGGATGAACGCCCTAGCAAATATACGACTATTAGATGAACTACCTGATAAATATACATTTATTAGATGAATGCCCACTTTAAATGTACATCTAGTGGATGAACAAACATCAAATATACAAATTAGATGAACTACCTGATCCAATGTACATCTATTAGATGAACGCCGATGTAAATGTACATCTAGTAGATGAATGCAGATTGTAGGGACTACTTTCTACAATGTAAAAACAACATCGTTTAGATTTATGGCCTTGTTTACGGTAATGTCAGTGCTAGTGCAGAAAATAGGCTCGCTAAATACAAAGTTTAGATGAACTAACCATGATAACTCGCGTGATAACCTATATATCTTGTCGATGAACGTTCTGCTGATACACCCTCTGACATGATGTGAGTGAGTGAGTGAGTTTGGTTTTACACCTCTTAGAGCAATATTACAGCAATATCACAGCGGTGGACACCTGAATTGGGCTTCACACATTGTACCCATGTGGGGAATCGAACCCGGGTGTTCGGCGTGACGAGCGAATGCTTTAACAACTAGACTTGCCCACCGCCCTACTGACAAATAAGCGATCATGGATGAACTAGCGATACATACTTGACACTGGATACCCTGCCATCTATTAGATGAATGCCCATTTAAATGTACATCTAGTGGATGAGCTTGGCTACCTGAAAATAATATTGTGTCAGATGATCTATTCGATGAATGCCCATTTAAATGTACATCTAGTGGATGATATTGCAAATATAAGTTGTTAGATGAACATGATTATTCATTATTAGATGAATGCCCATACATCTAGTGGATGAACGCCCTGGCAAATATACGACTGTTAGATGAACTACCTGATAAATGTACATCTATTAGATGAATGCCCATTTAAATGTACATCTAGTGGATGAACGCCCTGGCAAATATACGACTGTTAGATGAACTACCTGATAAATGTACATCTATTAGATGAATGCCCATTTAAATGTACATCTAGTGGATGAACGCCCTGGCAAATATACGACTGTTAGATGAACTACCTGATAAATATACATCTATCAGATGAATGCCCATTGAAATGTACATCTAGTGGATGAACGCCCTGGCAAATAAACGACTGTTAGATGAACTACCTGATAAATGTACATCTATTAGATGAATGCCCATTTAAATGTACATCTAGTGGATGAACGCCCTGGCAAATATACGACTGTTAGATGAACTACCTGATAAATGTACATCTATTAGATGAATGCCCATTGAAATGTATAGCTAGTTTATGAACGCCCATTTAAATCTATGGCCAGTAGATGAAACTCCTATTAAATGTACATTTAGTGAATGAACGCCCTGATAGATGTACTTATCATACAATGAATAGCGTTGTCGGCAGGATAAAGCCAACGGA